TTAATAATCTTTTCGTGGCACGTGGTATTTAATTTGCGATTTTAACAATATCGCAATGTTTAGTTAGAATGTAGCTTCCTACTTAATCCTAAGTGGCTATAAATTTAGGCTCTTTGTATTTGACGACTGAGAGACATCGATCAACGCGTAACGCGTACACGACGTACGCAGGCTCTGCGAGAAGTGGTTTACGAACGATATCGCTTTTATGACGCGTGTGCGGTTCCACTATAGTGTGTAATAGCTTTTATCTGGGGAAAAGCGAGTGTGTGAAGGTGACACAGTGGCGAGCTGAACTTTATGGAATAAAAATCGAATCTTTCTATTGCGCTTTTTCAAACGTGCATTTATAAAGAGAAGATTGGCTTTGTTGGTTATTCTTGAAAATTTAATCCCGACACCACAGAGATAAACCCACCTGCGAGTTTAATTTCTCTGTCATTTCTTTTAATAAAAATGTCTCTCGTGTTGCCATTAAATTCTGTCTTGTATAAAATTTTTTATTTAAACGTTTCAAGGCAAAGGGATTAAAAAATGTGAATAAAGAAAAAGTGAATATTTAAATATTGCTCCTGACAACAATATCATGTCGTTCTTGCCAAGCATGAGAGATTGCACGTTAGGTTGCAATAAGGAGTTTCGCAAAGAAACTCTCGAAAGAAGTTCTCGCTTTAAATATTATCGCGTAACACGTGCTCGAGACATGTGCTATACATGACGTGCGTTCGAATAGCGACATACATCGTCCGTACATTTTCTCATAAGAAATGTTTGCACACGATACTTTCTTTACGCGCGGCAAATCTGCAATCTTAAGAAAGTGTGGACATGTATCTGCTTTCATCACGAGGCATTCGAGTATAAGAGAAAAATGTGCTCGGCTGAAATTTATCGAGCAAAAATCGCGGTTGCCCGTTTCGTTTTTTTTCCTCACTCACCATTTTTAGTTGAAGTGCATTCCAAAAGAAAGAACGCGACTTCATATGCAGCCGACATCATAAAACCAATAGTTTCAAGACTCTACGATGTTCTATAAAATGTTTTAGGCTCACAACACAAAGGATATAAAAGCATGTTATCATCTGTCAAGGATATATGATTTATGTTTCCATCACACAACTACTGTGTAGCTTACAATCTTTTTGCAAGACTTTATAGATTTCTAAATTTTACTTGAAATCTAAAATTAAAATTTTGTTGCAGTTTATTAAAAATTAGATGAAAAATAAGATCTTGTTATTGGTACTCCTAAAGCTCAATTTACAAGTTCTAAAAAGCCTAAAAAGACTAACAAAGCTAACGATGCCATGAAAGTAAAGCATAAATTTTAATACATAAGCCTCCTTTTTGTTAAGATTTCATTTTGTCAGACGTAACAATGAACCTTCTAGTCTTATATATATCTGTTCAATATTCAATGCGCAATTTATTTTGCATGACTCTAACCATCCATGTATATCAGTTATTTTATCGAGAAAGGGAAAATAATTGCATTTTATATATATATATATATATATATAAAGCGAAGCACGCTATTAGCGAACTTAGCAGGGTTCCTTTTTATGAGAGAAATTGCGACGAGGACACAATCGCTGATATTGACGATCCGTTCATTGATAGTGCTGGTTTAATGCACTGATCCGAGATGAAAGCCTGCTAGTGAGCCCTTGCCCGGCATGTTTTCTCTTCGCTAGGTTTTTACGAAAACAGCGCCGGCCACCCTCTTGATGCACTTTTTTCGACGTGCCAACGCATTGGCTCGAGTCTTGCGTTTGACATTGTAGACTTTAATACTCTTAAAAAAAACTAATATTCCGATACTTTGAAACTTTAGATCCCGCGTAAATATTGCGAAAGAGCGCTGCTGATCTTTTTGTCATCAGTGCATTGTAATGCTCTCCGACCCAGCCGGGAACATGTAATACGTAGAAAATGACGGTTACTGTGATGGGATCGTATCATTGTTGCCAGGATACATCTTCCGTAATGTTCGTAACAGCTGTCTTTCTCGAGAAGACGAATCTTTAAAAAGTCGTTCTGGATGTCGTGCGGATTTATGTCTTTCGCCGCGACTTATTCTGCGTAGATTTCTATATAGACGTTTATTACAAGGTAGACTCTCGCAATGCAATATTCTTATATAAGAATAATTTTTATACGCAATGCCTTTGCTTGCGACTTGCCTTATCTGTCAGTCAATATGCACGTTTTGCATCTTGCGGTAAAGAGATTCAGTTGTGTTGCTCGATTGTGTTTGTAGTCTTTGTAGTACGTACAACTGAGCAATTTCCACGAAGAATTTCTTAATTTCGTATAAACGCACGTAGTTTCTGCAGATGACACATATTTTCTAGGATAATACGAGCGAAACGTGTTGTTTTGCGCGCTGATGTTCTGCCTGTTAACTTTGTCATTAAAAATGAAGATACAGCAGATCCTTTAATGTTTGTCACAAATATCTCGTTTCGTATTCATAACATTTTTTGACGAGTAATTCGAAAGATAAAAAACAATCTCGATATAAACCCTTTTTCTTCATACCTCTTGTATTAAAAAAAGGTGTAACGAATTAAATTATAAAATTATGTTTAAAATATAAAATACATAGCGCCAAGAAATTCTAGCATTAAAAATGCACAACATGCGCATTTTATATCCTCTAACAACTGACACATTGCATAATTTGTGAAAAGATAAACAGCTTAGTTCAAACTTGAAGAATTAATAGACTTTCTAAAATGAATCTCCCTCTTACAAGACAGAACCAGCTGCTCGTCGAGTCAACATTCATCGCTAAGACATGCACAGAGCGAATGTCATAAATCTATGTAATTCAGCGTTAAGCTTTAAGCTGACACAAACTAAATCCTGCTGTTCCGTTTCCTATGCACGTATATACGCAACATGTTTGACATGTATAAATGAATATCCACTAAATGAATTTTCTGCCGATCAAACAAATTTCAATAGTTTAAATTCGAATCTTTAATTGTTGCTGAAAACGTATCTAAACAATTTTTGCAAAATAGTATAAATGGCTCGAAACTTGAACGCCTCTATTTCATCTGAACTTTAATTTTAATCAAACATATTTGTTTCTTTACATTGGACAAATATTTAAACAAAAACAGAAAATTGGTATAAATCTGAAAGTATGAAAAGCAACGACTACAGAGTTATTTTAAAATAAATTCAAGCGGAACAGTCATGCTAAAAAGAGCAGCTTGTTACACAATTCAATATAAACGTATTCACAGTTCTGCGCCGTGCGAGTGCGGCTTGCGGTAACCGTTACTTTATGCACATTTACTGTACATGCATTGCAAATAAGTAGAAGCTTTATACAAATAAAGGAAATACACGTGTGGAACTATGCCACGTATTTTTATCATAAATATTACTGTAAAAGGATTTTTTAATCGTTTCTGAATCTTTTGTTTGTTTGTTTTGATGCTGAATCATATCACACGTAAAATGTACTTCGAAATCAAATTTTAATTTTAACGACAGTTTTTATAATCAATTTAGTCGCGATATATCCAACTCTTCTTTCAATTATATATCCAATTAATAAGCAATAAAAGTGATAAGATTGAAATAATTTAATCGCTGGATTTGTCAACGTAATTTATTAGAAGTTATGCAAAAATAATAAGCTGTTCTATACGGAATATCTCATGTAAGTTTCTTGCAAAAGTAAGTTAACGATTATTAGCATATAGATAACATTTAATGCACAAGTTGTGCATTAAACTAACAGATTCCAAGTTTCAGCCAGATTTGATAAGACGAAGAGTGTGAAACTTTAAACAACTGATTTAATCCGAATAAAATTTTTAATACATAACAGATTATTCATGCTTTAATGTTAATTTTTTTGAAATTATTGAAAATTTCATTATCTTTGGAATGTTCTATAGTTTCTGTAGCTTTCGTGTACAAATGATTAATTCAAGAGCTTATGATGTGTATCAAGGGATATGGTTCGATAAGCTTTTAGCGGCTTGATTGGTTGCGAAACGCAACTTATATTTGAAAAGGTCCGAGAGAGCGGAAAATATTATTATATTATAAAGTTAAATTCTTTGAAAATGGCAACATAAAATTATAATGCAGAGAGCGTGAGAGAAAAACACAACAAATTATTATATTTAAATTATTTGTAACGTTGCTGGCAAATTTGGTACCTCATTTTAAGCAGCATTATAACGATGCAAAAATGTAATTTGTATGTTTAAGAATTCGTGAATAATTAACGAATTTTCGGCAAAAAGTTTGAAAATTTTGGATGTGCATACATCACATATCTTTTTATGCGCATAACTAGCATAGATATTATATATTATTATTGTGTTAACAGAGATATTTTCATAACATAATTTTATATCTCAGATAAAAAAGCAGATGTGATAAAATAATTTTTACTGCAAATACCTTAAGAAAATGCACGTAACAAATTGACAAATTTAATTCTAGATATTCTAAATATAAGAATCTTTGAGACCTTATAATTCACTTACTCTTTACTCTTCTTCACTATTATTTCTGGTATCCTTAATGAAATATTTCTTTCTTTTTAATCATTTTTAAACAAACTTATACTATCTCTGTATTTCTCATCAACGCATAATTACAACTCTATAATAAACTTTTCTCTCTTCTTTATAATTATAAAGTCTTCGCAAGTCATCGTATAAATAGAATTCCCGGATTCAGTCTGACATTTATCTAAAATAGGCTTTAATCAAGAGCGACTGACCGGCCCTTGCTTATGCTTTAGAACATGTCTCCACGGGAGAAGTTAATAGGGTTCGTAGGTAGTGGTTTTGTATTACGGTCACGTGAAAATGACGTAAAGCGGGATATGAAGGGAGTAAAGTAAAAAAGAACAACAAGCGTTAGTTAAAGAAAAAGCAGGCAAGTAGCAGAGGGCGGCGACAAAGTAAGAAAGCAGTAATAAAGCGAATTATCGTATTTTTCAATTCTCTTTCTCGTATCACCTTGTACATAGCGCGGCTGCCACCCACGCCAAGAAACAAAGGAAGATCGCCCTTGCTTTTGTGCATACATATCTACAAACATAAATTGAGAATCGGATTGAGATACGTACGTAATCCGACAAGTATCACTATTGATTTTTCGCTTTCGATTCGTTAAACAAGTTATACGGAACGTAAAATCTTTTTGTAATTATTTATGTACTTACCCCGCCCTCAATGGCTCACAGATGGCGTAATATCTCTCGAAGCTGATAGCCAAAATCGTGAGAACAGAAGCATGGGCCACCGTTAATTCGACAAAGGGAACGGCTTTACCTGCGCACAAAAAAAAATTTTATTTTTTATTAATAGCATGTAAAAGTAATTATGTACAAAACGTATGAATAAAAATATCTCCAAAGAAATTGTTAAATTCCAATTAAGTATATGACAGTGATTAATTCTACAATTAAATTGCCATTAAAATAGAGCTACAATAAAAATAAGTTATGTAGAAGGAAAAGAATATTATTACATTTGTATTTTTCAGATGTTTTTTGTGTTAAACTAAATTTTCAGTATATTTCATACTTTCACATTTATAATACTTTTATTATTTAATATTTGTTATATTTTTATATTTATAAATAATACATAATTTCTCTCGATAAAATCTTGCTAATAATAAATCGTCATAAAAAAACGATGTAAATGCACATCAATTGAATATTAAATTAAATATTAAATCAAACAATATATTCAAAAGCAGAAGCAACCCTTTGATGTAGGTAACATTTCAATATTTTCGTTAATCAATATTTCAATGTTCAATGTATTGTTGAAAGTCAAGGAAAAAAGACTCTAGAACGGGACCGTTTCGAAAAAAAAAAAAAAAAACATTATTTTCACAGATGTGATTTATAATTCCCAAAAGAATCTCGCCTGATAAAACACGGTGCTGCAATAAATTATCGCAATTCCCTAGACACTATTATTCAACGACGCACATTTATACGTTCATTTATTATGTGTCCACCTATGTGGGCAATAGAATTGTTCATTATATTAACATTTTCCTTCAAGATAAAATATTATCCTTTTCCCGTCAATTTTGTTTCGCTATGATACAAATAAACGGTGGTAGAACTTCTATTAACAGAGAGTCCATTATCTAAATGTTTTTACTGTCCAAATGCTCAGCTATTTTGACATTCTATTGCCTGAACATTTTCTTATATCATTTTCTGTCTCTTATTAAAACAGAAATTTCCGTTAATATTTGACTTTCTAAAGACGATTTCTCATTTCAAATTCATGATATTAAATAAAGAAGCTTAGGTGACAAAATTCGCTTATCTACTTTATTCACTTATGCTTGTCTTTCTTTGTTAAAGATTTATAATAAAGATTTTAATAAAAATTTATAATAAAAATTTTAATAAAGATTTATAATAAAGATTTTAATAAAGATTTATAATAAAGATTTTAATAAAAATATAATAAAATTTTATTGAATTTTGAAAGAGAATTAATTGATTGTGGATATTTGATTTAATTTGCACGATTCTTCAAAAGCGATATTTCCGCACGTTTTTATTTGTGAATTAATAAATAATATACTAATTTTAAGCTTTAATATCGGCAAAACAACCAACTCTCTTTCTCTTTCTCTTTCTCTGATGATAGAAGGTTATAAATCATAGACAATTTATAAACACATCATGATATATTGATCTTTGATATAAATGATCTAGTAGAGATGAATTCATAATAAATCAAATCATAATGAATCCAAGCCACATCCTAAACTGATTAATTATTCTGTCTTCATTAAAGTCACTGTGATAAATGGGAATAATGTGAAGAAGGCAAATTAATACTCTAAGTTTTCAAGATATGCTATTAAAAATATTATCTCGGTGTTTCTATGATACATATAACCCATTAAAAAAAAATAATTTTTAAACTGTTTTAAATATATAAAATAAAAAACGTGTAAATAATTGCAAAAATGAAAAATATAGTATAATATTGAATTTCAAAAACCCCCTCAATGCCTAATCGTTTAATGCATTATAAATTTTTAACTTTTTTTGTATCACTTCGATACAGTGACAATTAATTTCACTGTTGAAACATATTAAAAAATTTAATATATAACATTTCTTCAATAATAATAATTAATATATGTTATTCATTAGTTTTAATAGTTCAAAAGTTGCTTTGTTTTAAATTAGAAAGAAATACGTTCTGTATTCACAAATATAACTTTACTTCTCATTCGTTATTTATTATTCGTAAGTTTGCCTAACTCTGATACATCGCATTGAGTCATCAAAATCATGGCACAATTGAGTGCCATGGTTGAAGTTAAAAAAACATGCGCGCACTCTTTTATTGTGTTTTTTTTTTCGACGCGTCGACGCTTGCAAGGGGACGTTCTAGACAAATTGCCTTAACTCCTCCACCCTTGCGGGAGGGCAATTGAGCGGGAGGGTGGTTAGATTTTCTTTCAGAGAGCTTCGAGGAACGAGCAGTTCGTCTAACGGTGGATAGGCGTTTCGGACAATAGCTCTATAATAAAGATGATACGTTGGCATTTCCTTTTCAAAGCAAAGGGTGGATCTTCTGATTCGAATTGTAGTTGTACATGGTCTGACAATTAAATTTGTAGATATTC